CCTTGCTCTGCCCGGCCGGGGTGGTGCTCGCAAGGGGCCTCCCCGGCACGTGCTGGATTCCACCCCCTCTCAACCCGGGGTTTTCACTCCAGCCCTTCTCGAAGGACGTCTCGGAGCGGAGGGAAGCTCCAGCTCTGCCATTCACCTTGGAGGAAGCCAGCGCTGCCACCTCCGTGCAGGCCATCTCCGCCACGCGCTGCTGCGAGGCACAAGAGGGGTCCGTGGCTGGGTGGTCTGGGGTAGAAAAACCGCCTGTGCTGAGGGTCCCAGGAGGCAGAGACAGGAGGTTCGAGGGTCTGGGCGAGTTTCTGTCAGAGCTGAAGCCCCAGCTGGGGCTGGAATGTGGATGAGGGCCCCGTTCCACACAGGCCGTCCAGTTTCTGGGAAGGGTGCTGCTCGTGCCATTTCTGTTCAGGGGGGCCGTGTCAGCCAGCAGTTTTCTCCTGGGAGGGACGGCAAGGGAAGGAAGAAGGAAAAAAGTACTGAGTCACAAGCAGTGATTTCTCAAGTTTCACAACATACATCAACCAGCTTTGTCTCTCTCCTGTCAAAGACATGAGCGTTCGGTGGTTCCCTCGTGCTCGTTGTCACTGTGCCTTGAAAACACCTCAAACAAATCCAGGGAGGAGAGTAATAGCGGAACTCAGCTGAACCAAGGAATTAGAAAACAGCTACACCTTCTCCGCAGAGGAAAAACAAAAGAATTTCTAGAGCAAGGAACTGACCCAGGCAAGGTGGAGCAAAAGACACATCCGTACAGGCACAAAGTTAAAGAAAGTAAAAGCATACTTGAACCAAATTACGTCTTTGGACTGCGACTGCAGTGTCGAGAGGCAAGAGAATAGCTTGGGTTTACCTGGACTGGTCAGAAAAAGCTCAATCCCAGCACAGTAAAATCCAAACCAGACTCCCCAGTCTCGAGCCTTTTCCTACGTCTTGTGCCGTCAGGCTGCGCCGCAGCCAACGCAGCAGCTGGAAGCGGCCACCACCCCCCGGAAAGGGGACAAGGCCGTGGACACGAGCAAATCGCTGCGGTTCGGGACAGCAAGTCTCGGTGGGGGGATGCCAAACGAAAGCCTCCGCTCACAGGAAATCCAAGCGATCCCGAGGGGGTTACATCCCATCTCCCTGTGGCTCTGGAAGCATCCAGTGCCAGTCACCTCCCAGAGACAAGGTAAGGACCGCCTCTGCCTCACGCGGAACGGGGAACTGGGCCCCTTATGCCGGCAGAACACTGGGACTGTCCGCATTTCCAGCACTTTCATGGGGTTTTTAACTTCGCCAGTCAGTAATTTTAAGCTTTTAGAAAACCCTTCAGAATCCGCCGTTCAGTGCCACGGGGACACCCGCAGGAGGGCACCGCTCCCCCCGCAGCGCGGCAGCAGCAGATACCTGAGCTCTCGCAGCTGGAGCAGTTCTTCCGCGCAGGACAGAGCCGAAAGCTCACGGAGCGGAATGGCATCCACCAGCTCGCAGATCCCCTCCGTGACGCCGCAGAGCTGCTCCTCCAGGCGCCGGCCCCCACCTGCCAGACGGAGCGTGCTTTAGCAGACAGCAAGAGCGATTTCTATTAGAACACGACAAGGTGGTGTCACACGCCCCAGAGACAGCGAATTGCAATAAATGAGCCTGAATTATTTGTCTTTAATGCATTTTTCAAAAGCCCATTCGCACAAAGCATCTGGTTCTGCCTCCTCTGACTCAGGAGTCTCTGTATTTTCCCCCCCGCTGTTTAATTACCCACCTCTCTCTCTTTTCCAAACCTCCTCACAGCTCTTTCAAGAGCCCTCGAGCTGACAAGCTTCGCTTGGCTCAAGTCACCCCCCCAAAAACAGCAGAACACATTTTATCTATGTGTACCCAGGACCATTCCAGTCTGGAAAGCAGCGTGGGAGAAGTCCCGCACGTCAGCGTTTGCCACCGCGTGACCTTCCGCTCCGCGTTGAGTTCCACTGCAAAATCACCCGGATTTGGCCCGCGAACCGCTGCTGGAGAGCGATCCCTCAGACTAAATCCTGGCCTGTGCTGCACCCGCCTAGCTCCGAGTTCCCCCGTGGTGAGGAGGGCACCTCTTGCGACGAGCCAACGGGCCCACGTGGCCACAGGCTTGCTTTAGGCCCAGGACGGAGCTCGACTAAAGGGCCTGCCAGAACAGCATCGTTCCAACGTACCCACGCTGCGCGAGGCGCTCGGAACCACGCCGCTCTAAACGGCACCGTCGAACAGGACCGCGAGCTGCAGCTGCGTCCGGAGGGTAAAGACCTGCAGCCTTAAGCCCAGGCTGTGCCACGCCTGCGCCCAGTAACACTTCGCTCCCCAAGGGAAGCTCAGGGACATTTCAGCTCAGCAGTTCCCAAAGCCGGCATCTGTGGGGATCCAAGGGAAGCACGGACACAGCTCCCGCTCACAGGGACGTGGCTTTGTGCTGGAGCTGACTTGGGGTTTCATGTGGTCGATCCGTGCGTTCAAGTGGTGGAAAGCAGGTGAGTGCGGCACCCCAGACTGGTCCTGACAGACCCACACAACATCCCCGCCCCTGCTGCCCTGTCCCCATGGGTCGCTGGTAGCTCCTGCTCCCAGAAGGCAGGGGATACACGGGAGAACAACTTGCAAACCACCCCCAAAACCTACGGCGCAGAATTCCCAGCGCCTCGCGTACCTGCATCCTCTGTGCCGTCAGCGAGGGGCTGCGCCGCGGCCACCTTCCCCGGTGCGGACTCGGTGCTGCTAGCTGAGGGTCTGCCACCAGCAGGAGGTTCTTTGAAAAGATTACTGATATTAAAATAAAAAGCCATTAAAACGCAGGTACCTCTAAGTTAAGGCATTTCCCTCAGAGAAGTTCCCCTTTCAGAACAATGACATTTAAGAGGTGTGTAAGAGTGAAACGAACTCCCGAACGCACAGTTACAGTCCAGGCGGCCGAGCGGTTCCGCTCAGCCTACGCGCCGACACGCAGGGACCTGTTTCGACCCTTTTTCCCTCCCACCGCAGACAGGAAAATAACTCTGCTGAAGCAAACGCCATACACCAAAAACCGACCCGTAGTTTCCCCACACCCCGCCAGCAGCTGTCAACAACCGACGGCCCGGCGCCAGACCCAATCAGTGCAACCCCAACTGCAGAGGCACCGGTTTCACCGCCCGCTTGGTGCTTGGAAAGTCACCCCAAAGGCAGCTTCATCAGCTGACCTCATCTTACCTAATGCCTTTTACAGACGGCGAGAAGGAAGCCAGCTCCTCCGGGGAGGGCGGGACGACATCCAAGTAGTCATCCTCGTCAAGCTCGGGGCCTGCGAACGGCTCAGCGTCGGCCCCGTCCGGTTCCGGGGGGCTGTTTTTCTCGTTGCTGTTTGGCTTCTGGGTCTCGTGGCAATTAGCGGCGGCAGCTGAAAGAGAAGCGTAGTAACACCCTGGGTAACCCTGTAAGCTCATCCAGGTATCAATGAAATACATGGGGAAACATTAATAGCCCGGTTTCGAAGCCCCTGTTTAATACAGTTTCTGACTTTTAAAGGACAAAAAAACCATTATTGCTCCCTTTTGCTCCCGCATTGAAAACAAAACCCCCCCAAACCCTCTTTTAGGCAGAAATCCTCCATCGCTTGCCTATAGCTACTTTCCCCTCTCAGAAGAGAAAAACCAGTTTTGTCCAACTTCAGGGGTTTATTTTCCTAGGGGAGATTTCACAGACAACTCCTGTCATGGTAAAGAGCAGCTTAACGAGAGGGTGGAGTCATGGAGCAGCAAGGGCCCTGCACCAGCACAGGAAAGTAACTCCATGTGTAGTGCCTCATGCTGAGACAGGGCAGTGTCATTCACCTGCTGAAAGCCCCTTCACAGAAAGAGAGGGAAAAGGAATGACATGTTAAGAAGAAAACCACAGCTCCCAAATCCCTTTGCCGTGACGGCAGCGTCACAGCACGCTGTTCGAGCTCGTTCGGCTGCGCAGCCTAAAAAAAAAATCAAAGCCAACACGAAGGGATTTCCTTCCAGCTCACTGGTACTTTCAAACAAGCTGTTACCTGGGCGAGGGGAGCCTCTTCCCCGCCATCATCCAAAATCACGCCAGCGGATAAATTCTCCCAAGGGCTCTCAGCATCAGCCTTGTTGCTGCTGCAGGGCGCGGGATCGTCCAGACAGATCACAGACTGCTGGGAGAGGGGCCGTCGGTCGCCCTCCGGAGAGGCCTCCCCCGGCTCGGCAGGGCCGTGGCCCTCGGGGGCGGGAGAGCGGGGCGGCTCAGGCAGGCGGGGGGCTGA